TTGTATGATGGACTCTTTGCAGTAACACAGTGGCTCTTAGTCTTTGACTTGTTGGCCACCCCTGGTTTAGAGCCTCGCTACATGGATTAGAGTGTTAGAGCGCAAGATTCCAACATAATTACTCTATAAAGAGCTTCTGACAGTAAAGAGAGTGGTCACGTATGCACTCACCTGTGACAAGGAATCAAAATAAACTCACTTATTTTACAAACTAGAGCTGCACAATATGTAAAAAAAAAAAAAAAAAGTAATTGCGATATTAATGCGTGTGATATCCATATCTAAAACATGCGCAATAATGTTTACATTTTTATGTATGCATTTGTTGTAGGTGAAGTTTGACGAATATGCTGCGACCTAGTGCCGCCGCACGCTGGAGTGGAGCACGCAAAGAAACATAACATGCAGATGATGAAGAGACAAATGCAGAGAGACAAGAGTAAAATGTTCCCAAAAAGACATTTCAACTCCAGATTTTGGGACTACTTCCGATTTACAAGACTGGACCAAGCACAGAAACACATTATTTGCAAGTCATGCCGAAAAACAGTTTCTACGTCGAAGGGAAAGACGACAATCTCCAAAGCCACCTCCAGCACAACCACAAGGTACTTTATGCTGTATTTACAATCCCAAACTCCACATCCTCCGGTCAAAGCTGGAAGGGCCCCGGAGTGCGGACGCCTTTTTTATTTTTTTGTCATCGCTCTCACTTATGCAGTTACGAGGCCCTTCTTATCTGGAATCACCAATTTGATTGGTTGTTAAAGTTGTCACTTGCTGTCTCCAAAGATCCTCATTCGTTACGTACTTACGTCGCACTTTCAACCCTCCCCTCCCTCCACCCTGTTGTTAGTCGCGCAGCCACGAGCAGAGCCTATGAAGTGGAGTTATGAAAAAAGGAAAAAAAGACAGCAAACAGCGGGAACAGTCGGGTAAAAACGTATGGTTGCCGACCCGACGCATTGACAGTCTGCAAAGAAAGTTGAATGTTGTGTCTGACATGTTTTAACGAGTCCCAAAACAACTTCATCAGTCAAGCTCTCTGTTGTGGTTAAGGTGGACATCTTCAAAATAAACGTGCTTCCTTTGGTAATCGGAAGTATTTTGTTATATTTGTAATTTAGACATAATACTAACAGTGTTAGCATAATGCACTACTAATATTAATATTAAGGTATTATATTATTACTAGTGGTGATAATAATGAAACTAGTTGTAATTTATATTTTATATATATATATATATATATATATATATATATATATATATATATATATATATAATATATTCATCATAATAATATAGTAGTAGTAGTAAGTAAGCTTTATTTATATACCGCCTTTCACAGACCAGAGTCACAAAGCGGTTTACAATTGTTATTTTTGGGCATTTGTCTCTCACTCCACACAGAGATGGGAGCAGGGCCAGTACAGGAGGCACATGCCAGAACTATTGGACATATTTTTAGTGGTAGGGGAAACCGGAGTACCCGGAGGAAACCTACGCAGACACAGGGAGAACATGCAAACTCCACTCAGAAAGGCCCTGGTCCGGCCGGGATTCGAACCCAGGACCTTTTTGCTGAGAGGCGAGAGTGCTATCCACTCAGCCACCGTGCCGCCCACTATATATATATAACTATATATCCTGCATTTAACATGTTTGCACACTTCTGTCGTTTGCACAAATCTTGAGTGATTCCATCCATGCCAAATGTGACTCCTGTGTGAGATTTATAAAGTCTATCTTATCTTATTTTATCGTGTGTGAAAAGTTCAAATGTTATTGTATCTTGTTGTGTTGAATCATTTCATAAATAGTATACATGTACATGTTAAACATGTTTTTTTTGGCTGTTGTCATATATATCGCTTGATTAGTGTGATTTATGTATTAGTTTAAGTGTAATGGAACTTAAGTAAGTAATCTTTATTTTATTTATATACCGCCTTTTCACTGCACATCGGAGTCTCAAAGCGGTTTACAATTGTTATTTTTGGGAGTGGGGGTGCCAGTACAGGAGGCACATGCCAGACCTATTGTACATATTTTTAGTGGTAGGGGAAACCGGAGCACCCGGAGGAAACCTACGCAGACACGGGGAGAACATGCAAACTCCACTCAGAAAGGCCCTGTTCCGACCGGGATTTGAACCCAGAACCTTCTTGCTGAGAGGCGAGAGTGCTGGCCACTCAGCCACCGTGCTGCCCTTCTTGCTTGCTTTATTTTTTATGGTTTCTTCTGCTTTTTATGCTGCTTTTTATGCTGACTTCTGCTTAAGGCCCCAACAAGGCAAGCACCAGCTCTGACCCCATCACTCTCCTTATTGGTCAAACAGCCCTTACACAGCCTGGGTGTGAATCTACAGTCAATAGTCATGAAAAGAAAGGAAGCTCATTGAATGAGAAAGTGTGTTCAAACTTTTGGTCTGTACTGTATGTGCCATGCTGCATTTGAATTAATGTGCTTGATTTTTGTTACAGATTTTTCTCCTGCAGTTCAATGCAGATTGCATTTTTAGGTGAAATACAAAAATACTGCAATAATATTGTTATCAAAATACTAAACACCCATTTTGAATATCGCTCTAATTTCCTTTATTGTGCAGCCCTACCCAAACACATACATCTCTGATCCCACATGCAGCCAGTGGGGAGTGACATTATCACACAATAAGGACTTTTCTAACACTTTTTCTCACCCTTTTAAATTATATAAATGACACACAAATGTATGACTCTCAAAAAAACGTTGAGAAAGTAAATGACAGGGGAAACAATTAGAACTCAGAGAAAAGCACTTAAAGTACGGGGTGAAAATCTCTGTCAGGTTTTCTAACTCTGAGTCTAAATGTTGTGATTGTGTGTCTGTCGCGCCTGGTGCTGACTCCAAACGGAACAGCAGGAAACAAGTCCACATCCTCTCCTGACAAAGGGAAAAACGCAGCTTGAAAAGGTGTTTTTTGTTTTGTTTTTTCAAAACATCCAAAACATCTAAAAGTTCTGAAGACTGGTACTAAGTGAATATACATAATTCATAGAGCACCAACCTCGCACTGATCCTCCTGCAGGTGGTGAGTCCACAGGAGGATGTTAGCTCTGTCAGTGACAGCATAGCTTTTAGTGGGGTTAAGTGCCTTGCTTAAGGACACAACAACAGCAGAAGACATCAGTGGGAGTCGGTGAGAGAAGGTCTCATGTGAGGATCGTCCATTGCTCTACCCACTGAGCCACTGTCGCCCCATTTGATTCTTTATTTTATTTTGTAATATGCTTAATAATAATAATAAATTGGTTTTATATAGCGCTTTTTTGGACACTCAAAGACTCATACACGGTGGTGATAAACTAGTAAGTAAGTAAGTAAGTAATCTTTATTTATATACCGCCTTTTCACTGCAGATTTGAGTCTCAAAGCGGTTTACAATTGTTAATTTTGGGCATTTGTCTCTCACTCCACACAGAGATGGGAGCGGGGTCGCCAGTACAGGAAGCACATGCCAGAACTATTGGACATATTTTTAGTGGTAGGGGAAACCGGAGTACCCGGAGGAAACCTACGCAGACACGGGGAGAACATGCAAACTCCACTCAGAAAGGCCCTGGTCCGACCTGGATTCGAACCCAGGACCTTTTTGCTGAGAGGCGAGAGTGCTATCCACTCAGCCACCGTGCCGCTACTACTGTAGCCACAGCTGCCCTGGGGCACACTGCCAGAAGAGAGGTAACCAGTATATGCCATTGGCCCCTCAGACCACCACCAACCATTCACACACATACCAGACTCATTCTAGGCAATGGGTCTTGCCTAAGGACACAACGGCAGTTTGGCACTTTACAGCCGCCCCACTGTGGCTGGTGTTCCCAGAGGTTAAGTGTCTTGTCAAGGACACAACGACAGCAGACATCAGTGGGAGTCGATGGTGAAAGTCGGGCTCAAACCCACGACCTTCTAGCTCAAAGGCCAATGCTCTACCAACTGAGCTACTGTCGCCTTGTTCTGGGGCGTCAGTAGCTAGGTTGGTAGAGCACTGGTCTTTGGACCTAATAGTCGTGGGTTCGACCCCACTATAGGACCCATGTCAACTGCTCCCACTGTTGACTGTCTGTCATTATGTCCCTGGGCAAGACACTTAACCCCACATTGCCTGAAGCCCCCGCTGAAAGACCAAGGCCATGTCTTCGATGACGAAGAAGCCATCAAGCTTCCAAGATGTAGAGCCATGTTTGGCCAACAATCATTCATGAAGCCATAAGCCTTTGGAAAACTCTTCCAAACAACATAAATTCAAGTACAGATTACGGTGTGTTTAAATGTCTGACTAAGACATGGTTATTGTCACAACAAACCTGTATGCATTGGGTGACTCTGATATTGTTTGACATTCTTAGTGAAGTATACAGGTTCCTGTGTAGTGGGATTGCATTTACAGAATTTCTATGTATGTTTCTGATTTTTATAATTTCCTGTACTTTCTAAAGTGTAACATGAACCTGTCCCGGGATTACAGGTGGAAATTAGGATCTCCATGCTATAACTTGGCACATGGCATCTCTTCTGTCATGACTATGTCAGCTGTGCATTGTCCCTGATCAAATAAATACATTTTGCCTGTGTCTTCGTTTGCATATTTCTCCCGCGCTCCTCTCCTCTAGTTTTCAGTCCGTTGTCTTTTCCCCATGTCTTGTTCCTGATTTTACTCTTTTATTTTTTTTTTATTTGCTTATTACCCTGGATTAGTTTTTCATTTAATCAGTCATACATTTTGAGTAATTTTTTTACTTTAAACCATGGCATACTGTTTACTGTTTTTTTTTAAAGAAAGTCTTCTGACTGGGGAAATTAGAATACTAATAACTTGGAGCGAGGCAGAAAAATGGTCCTCTTTGCATCGAAGCGTAACAAGTTTGGAAAAGGAGCATTTAGACAGACGTGTTGGTGTGAGACAGACAAAGGCACAGGTGGAGGTGTGTTAAAATCTTAAAAATTAATCAGCATTAGTTGACTCCCTCCAGGCTCAGTTTGATCCGTCTCAGCCTGGTACTGGGACTGTGTGTTCCCCGTGACACTCGCAGCCTGGGGTACAGAACATGCATAGGAGGATGAGAATTTGATTGTTGAGAGAAAAACCCCAGAGCGGTCATCCATTTTATAACAAGCAGCTTTGGAGATTAAAAGGCATATGTTGAAAATAAAAAGATAATAGCAAACATTCTATTCATCTCTATTAACTTTCCGGTCTTTCTCTCCAGTCCCTCTCTGGTCTCTCTCTGATCTCTCTCTGATCTCTCTCTGGTCTCTCTCTGATCTCTCTCCGGTCTTTCTCTCTGGTCTCTCTCCGGTCTTTCTCTCTGGTCTCTCTCCGGTCTTTCTCTCTGGTCTCTCTCCGGGCCTTTCTCTCTTGTCTCTCTCTGGTCTCTCTCTGATCTCTCTCTTGTCTCTCTCTGATCTCTCTCTGATCTCTCTTTGATCTCTCTCTGGTCTCTCTCTGGTCTCTCTCTGCTCTCTCTCTGCTCTCTCTCTGGTCTCTCTCTCTGGTCTCTCTCTCTGGTCTCTCTCTGGTCTCTCTCTCTGGTCTCTCTCTCTGGTCTCTCTCTCTGGTCTTTCTCTCTGGTCTTTTTTCTCTGGTCTGTTTAAATATGAATGCTTTACCGTATACACATACAACTGTATGTATAACAACATCAAATGATCTTAATCTTAAAAATACAAACACTGGGATCATAAAGAAACGTTAAAGCATTTATTTTTAATCCCAAAATGGTTATTGTGACACAAACATTTCCTGAGCGAAAGGTTACTACTTTTACATGTAAGTCAAAAGAAGAGCGAGTTGGAGCAAAACTTTGTCCATGAACACTTCCCTATTGGGATTTATTGAGCGTGGCGTTTTCCATTTGATCGTGTGTGAATGTGCACCATATTGGTTCATAGGAGTTCCTTGTAATTAGTGTGTAATGTTTAAATAAAAACATTTGTCAAAGGACACAGTCAACACGTGTCCTTCACTTTGCTCTGAGTCGTGAGCACACAGTATAAATGGGATTTATGCAGAAAACAAACTCTTTTTTTAAAACTCTTCTCTTGTTACCTGGAAACGGTCGTTCCTCAGACATAATTGTCATCTGACAGGAAAATACAGTATATTTTTTTTAGTATTTAAGGACATATTATACAAGCAGCTCAGTATTCTTCTCATCACAAACAGACCTGGATTTGTTTTAACTCTGTTTGAACTCTTTTGTCAAAAACATGTCCCCTCAAGACTTCTTGCATGGCGCCGTAAAGATGGCGCCGTGGCAAGAGCTCTGGTGTGTGTCGTCTGGTGCACACCGGGGTAGTCTTGCACAGTTTTTCCAATGTGGTTTTACTGCAAATGGCAAATAAATGAATCTGAATCTGTCTATATGCTCTTGATTCAAACTCGTCACACTGATATGACTTCAAGGATTGAACTGTTTTCTGCCTTGTACACCAGAATCAATCCCTCGGCAAAAAAACTATATAATGAAATAAGTAATATACTGCTTAAAATAAGAAAAATGATCTGCCCATAAAACAAGAAATTATGAATGAAGATTTCTGAAAATAAGAAAATGCTAGCCCCAATTGACTTGATTCTAGTATAAAAACATACATTTCAAGTATTATTTACTTATTTCTTGAACATCTTTGAGAAATGGTTTCTTAAAATATAGCATAACATACTTATTTTATCTTTATTTGTTATCAAGGTGTTCTTGGCCAGATCTCCCTCGTAAAAGAGATTTCTCTAGGGACTTCCTGGATAAATAAAGGTTGAATAAATAAAACAATCTAAAGAAGAAAAGTTGTTGGGAAATAAGAAACAACACTTAAAACCATCTTAAAAACTGCTCAGACTTTTTTCTCTAAGATTAACATGTATAATTATCATAAAACTATTACAATAATCTTACATGACAACATTAATCCAAGCTACAAAAAAAACCTTGCCATTAAAAAAAGGTTTAAATAAAAAAACCTTACCAAGATTTTACATATTAAAGGCGAGCAGACACTGCCATTTCATACATTTTACATACAGTGTGATATTGTGTGTGTTTGAGGGAGTTGGAGGAAAGCAACAAGAGTGATCGCACTGTACACGCGCACAAATATACACGCACACACACACGCAAGAGAAGACGTGCACACACACACTCGCGCTCCCACACATGCACATATGTGCTGCTCTTTTCTATATGAAGTTGTCCTTGTGTAGAAGGATCGGCAGAATGTGCAGTGATGTGGTCTCTGTATCGGACTGTTGTGGTGCAGCGGGAGCAGAGCCAAAAGGCAAAACTCTCAATTTACTGCTCAATCCACATTCCCACTTTTGGATAAAGATTGATGGAACGAGATTGTGGATACAAGCGGTCCACATGAGGTTCCTCCACAGAGTCTAAGCAAGCAGGTTCGACTCCTGGTTCGACTCCTGGTCTGAACAAGGCCTTTCTGAGTGGAGGGTGTATGTTCTCCCTGTGTCTTTGTAAGTTTCCACCAGGTGCTCCAGTTTCCCCTACCATTAAAAACGCTTACAATAGGCTAAATCCTCCAGCTCTGGTTCAGATCAACCCGAGCATCAACATCTGGAGATGTGCCCAGGCGCAGCACTGCTCCAGATAGAGGCCCTGGTGTCTGTCTTTTGCAGTGATCCTAGTGATGCCAAATGTAACATGTACATTTCTCCATTGTGAGATCAGACAAGTTTTATCTTATCTTGCCGTATCTTAGCGGCAAATATAGAGGACAAAATTCCCTATTGGGACAATAAAGTATAACTGAACTGAAGTGAGATAGGGTGAGCTTAGTCACACGGAAGGAGCTCTGAGTAGAGCCGCTGCTTCTACATGTTGAGAGGAGCCGGTTAACGTGGCATCTGTTTGTTCTTGGCATGTCCCAGAGGAGACCAGGGGAATACCCAGGACAGGTGGGAAGGACTGTCTCTCAGCTGGCTTTCAGGATTCCCCCAGATGAGCCGGAGTAAATGTGTGTGGATGTCTGGCCCAGCACTTGATAAAGCACAAGAAAACAGATGGATCAAAATGTCCATGTTGGAAAAGTCTCTATACTCTCCAGGTGGATGAGAAACTTGCCCTAGTCCATTGTAACGTGCTTCCCTCTGGTCCTGTGTGCACGGTGCTGAAACAACACGCCAACCTTTCCTACTGTTGCCCCAGGTCGACACGGGTCAAAACTTACAACAACATGCAAACAAATTATGAAGACTGACCTGGCCGCGGCGGAGTCTGGAATCACTTCATAAATGTAAAGTCCCGCATCCACAGCTGGAAACGACGCATCTCTCATCTTCAGGTCATCGATGAGACTAGAACGACACAGGACACAGGAAGTGAGTTCATGTGACTGAATAAAGGCAGTGACCGTATCTTTAAAAACACACATGATGCAGGATCTGAGTTCGCTTACGCTGGGGTGAGCGTCAGCATCCGGACTCCGATGAACTTCTTTTTGGCGGGTGTATTTCCTATAATCACATCACATTACAGTTTAAAAGAGACTAATTATTAAAATCCACTTTATTGAGCTCTTAAAGGAATAGGCCACCGTTTTTACATACTGACATATGTTCTTACCTTACCTTGGACTAGTTGATATGTACCTGTCTGGTCTTTGTCCGTGCGCTCTGTCATGCAAACGGAGCACAAACGCAGCCTCTTCCACAGACTGTATAGTTCCAATAATACGAGGAGCACTACGTCCGTGCACTAACTCCGAAAGACTTCTCTCCCGCTCACGTCTGTCAATAGAAGCAGCGTGAGCCGTAGAGAAGGCTTTAGGAGTTAGTGCGCGGACGTAGCGCTCCTCGTTTTATTACGCCTCACAATATAGTACCTCTTTTTATCCGCTGAGATAATCGACATGTTACATTTCTGTGTTACTATACTTTGTAGAGTAACACGTCACGTAACTGTATTTAAATAGGGAAAACGTGGAAGAGTTTGGTAGCTTCTAACGGGAGCTGCAAGTGCAAAAAGATACAAAATAAAAAAAAAAAAACTCCTTACTTTTAATAAAAAGTGCAAGCTAATTTCAGGAACTTCTAACAATAATATGTAACCCCTTCTGTCTAAAAGCTCCTTTCTCATGCTGCGTTCATGCAATCTCAGAAACTCTGTGGGAAAGTCAACTGGGAAACTTCAACTTGAAACTCAAGATGAAATTCGGGCGGCAACTCCAGCTGGGTCAATGGTCCCCACGAGTTTCAGAGATTGCTAGAATGCTGCATCAGTTCTGTTGTAATAATAATATCTCAGCCTTTCCCACATTCAAAGCGCTCGTTCGGCCTCGCTCACCGATACGTAGTCTGTCGTGGGACTCGCTGAGGAACTGGCGTATCCGGTCCGCTGGGATGGCGAAGGAGATCCCGGCCGCCACTTTCAGAGTGTTCACCCCAATCACATCCCCGTCCTGCCCCAAAACACAGCAAAGAGAGTGATGTGAGAACGGCAGTGGACGAGAAATAACTGTCGGATTCATGGCCACAGACGGCTTCTTTGATACTCCAGCAAAGTATCCAGCTCCAAAGATTGCAAGAGTACTACTTTAGGTACTTAAAGCTAGAGTATCGATTTCATTTTTCTTAATTACAATGGTCCCTGGTTTTTTGCAGTGGTTACAAATAATAACCCCCAATATGCAATCCATAAATTATCAGCTACATACCACACACTTTATTCATGACTGCTGAAGCGTGATCGCGGGGATATCAAACCTTCTGAGTGCTGCTCCAGCTGTCAAAAGCCGTGCATACACTGTAAAATACAGCTGCAGAAGGGACTGAGGGATACGGGAAGACCGCTGTTGTCCTCTCAACTAACCATCGTGGCGCGCACAAGCCATAAAAGCTTTCTTCTGACATTGAATGAAGGTAACTTTGAGGGTTGTATGATCTTGTACAGCAGGGATGTCAAAGTTAAATACCTCAGAGGGCCAAAAAAACATGTTTGCTACAAGCTGAAGGCTGGACTGGTTCAATGTTTATTAAAACATCAAAAATTTCCCCACTGTGGGACAAATAAATGAACTCTTATCTTAACTCTTATAACCTATTGAAATGAATAATCCAAAGTTTGTTGTATGGCTCAATCTGTAACTTCAAGTGAAAACATTTTCCAACTCATAGACAAAAACAAACTTCCTTCAAAGAGAAAACACAGGTCCTGAACATTAAATGAATAATCCAATATTTCCTCATGGCTCTGTGTGGGCCAGTTCTAATACTAATCAAATATCATCCCGGGTGCCAAGATAATTAATTCACAAAGCCGGATCTGCCCCCAGGCCTTGACTTTGGCGACCATGTTGTGCAGGATGTTGTTGCAGTATACACACCGTGAAAGACCAGAGAGAGAGAGAGAGAGCAGACCTTTCATCAAAGTTTTCTAACTTTAAATATAAGTAACTGTCATCTTAAACTAGTGGTTATATGATGTGGTATTTTATAGAAAATGTTGGAGTATACACACGGCGGGTGGAAAACTCGCGAAACAGTGAGGCTGCGAATGGTGAACAACAACAACCACATATTCTTGTATGTCCCTATATCACAACAGAAGTCATCTCAGAGGACTTAACAAAACCATTGAAATCACCAACACAGATCAGAGAATCAACAGTTAAGACACAAAATATACACATATGAATTGGTCCATAGGGAGAGACCAATGTCCATGAATGTTGATAATGTCCATACATGTTGTAGCCTGGCCTTAGCCATCCGTACACTCCTCTCAATCATCATTTCACTGCATGTAACGTCTGGGTCTAGTCCCTGTGTTCAACCGATTACAATCGGTTGAATTTCGACCGACCATTCAGAGAGCGTGGAAGGCGGGTGTTGTAGTTAGTTGTGGGTGATGTCAAGAGTTTGCGTCGAACGGGAAGGTTGTAGTTTGGTAATGCCGAAAAATGCGATAGTAAAGTCGGTCTGGTTCTATCAAGAAATTGAAGCCGGAGCAAGGGAAATTTTTAGCAAATGTAATCGCTGGAAAAATATGTGGCGCTACTCCCCACGGGCTCCGTTACCGGCAAAGGAGATGGCTAGGCTAAATGCTAAATGCTAACAACAGACTCGGGCGCACTACATACTTCACGGTAAACTCAGATCCAATCGATCAATCTGCAAAAGGAGTTAACCCCTCCCACCCTTTAATGGAGCTCAATGGAGCACCTCCAGACCTTAGTACGAAATGTAATTTGTACTATGGTGTGGTACGACCAGGCTATACATGTTGTAGAATGTTAAAGTATCCTGGATCATCACCACAGACCCTCCTGCATTGTCAAGGAAAAACTCACAAAAACCCAGTGGGAAAAAAGTGAGAAGCCTCGGGGAGACCCACATATAGAACCGTGTTATAGCGACAGACAACTTTATATAATAAAGGAATGTGCTTCAGTCTCTGGATGAGAATCAAATGTTTTCATAATTGAAGCTTGGAACGACGACCAGCCCGCTCAATACTGTTGGACTTCTTCCACATGAAACCACCGTGCTGTTGTCGACGGCCGCATTTGTATTTACACCTGCTTCAGGGCCACAGCCTTGATAAATAAATGCATGGCAAGGCTTGGATAATTCCAGACCACCGCCGTGGAGAAAAATGGCCTTTCTAATCAGCGGCGAGAAAGAAGACCAGAGCCGTCAGGAATCATAACATGCGGCAGATGCAGAAAGAATGGTGTGACATAATCCTCTTACCAAATTGACGAGTGGGCCGCCGGAGTTGCCATACTGTGAAAACAAAAAGATGAGAATAATCTGAATGTTTGGTTCAGATAAAACTGGATCTACACTGGAAAAAAATCCCTTGGAAAAAAATATATGTAAATAAAATAGATATTAAGAAGAAAAATTATCTGCCAAGAGCACAACAAAATATGACTTGACAAGATTTCTGACAATAAGAAAATAATACTAGCCTCAAATGACTTGATTCTAGAATATAAACATACATTTCAAGTATTATTTACTTATTTCTTAAATATTTGTGTAAAATGTTTTCTTAAAATATAGCATAGCATACTTATTTTATCTAAACAATAAGAAAGGTTGTCTGGAGATAAGCACAAATACTTAAATCAAGCATTAAAAACTCACTGCTCAAACTTTTTTCGCTAAGATTATGAAGTATTATTATCTTCAAACTAGTAAAATAATCTTACATGACAAACTAAATTCAAGCACAAAAAACTTGCTATAAAAAATAAGCCTAATTTATTTCAATGTATCATCATAAATTATTCAAGGTCTTGGAGATCAGTGGGAATACTGTGCCACCCTGCTAAAGTGCCAAAACAGCACTTTGTTGAATTGGAGTTTATGTAGTGAGAATAACCGGATCCAGTTTTACAAGTGCATCTTCTTTTCAACTGTTTCAACTCGATAATTTCTCATAAAGGTGATGAGAAGTGGTGACAATATTCAAAAACATATGTGTGATGTTAATGATCATGCTTTGTTTGTTTTTTTTTGCGTTTTTTTAGACATGTGTGTATGTGTGCGTGTGCGTATGCATGCATGTGTGTATGTGGGCGCATGTGTACGTATATGTGTGTGTGTCTGTATGTGTAAGATAAGAGATCCTTTATTCGTCCAACAGTGGGGACATTTCTGTGCATGTGTGTATGTGTGTGTGTGTGTGCTTGTAGGTATGACTGTGTGTATGAGTGCATGTGTGTATGTGTGTGTGTGTGCTTGTAGGTATGACTGTGTGTATGAGTGCATGTGTGTATGTGTGTGTGTGTGCTTGTAGGTATGACTGTGTGTATGAGTGCATGTGTGTATGAGTGCATGCAAAGATCCCAGCCTCACGTTGATGATGGCGTCAGTCTGGATGTAGTCCAGGTCGGAGTCCTTGAAGCCCAGCTCCTGCCCGGTCCTCTGCGCCGTGCTGACGATCCCTGTGGTCACTGTGTTCTGGAGGGAGAAAGGAGAGCCCACCGCCACCACAAACTCCCCAGGCCGCAGGTCAGAGGACTGGCCCAGGCGCAGCACTTCCAGGGGGCTCTGCAGGGACAGGGGACACACACAGTGAGGAAAAAACACTCAAAGTCAGTATTTTCTTAATATTTCATCAACAAAAGGAATTTTAGTAATGTTTTTTTACCAGACCCCATAGCATAGATCAGCCATTCCCAAACTCAGTAACACCGAGGCCCCCTTAAAAATCTGACGGGTCTGCGTGGCCCCCCCAAAATAATAACCAAGAAGACAACATTAAGAATAGGCTCTTCTGGTTATTTTATTTTGGGGAAATAGCCTCTGCTACAAACATTGTAATACAAAAATGATTACAGTGGATTATTCAAGTCAAATAATGAACACAAATATTTTAATATTACAAACAAAACATTATAAATTTAACATTAAATAATTATATTATTTTTTTATTTTTTTTATGACCTCCCGCGGCCCCCCTGTAGTACCCTCGCGGCCCACCAGGGGGCCGCGGACCCCACTTTGGGAGACACTGGCATAGATGAATGAATGTTTTAGCTTATGATGGTTCATTCTGGAATTATGTATATGTGTGTGTGCGTGTGTGTGCATGTGTGTATGTTTGCGATGAGTGAATCTCAACATTTAACCTGGTCATGTTGTGATCAGCTGTTAGTTCAGTATGAAGATGAAAACTTGCAGCTTATATTTAAGTGTGGCCTGTATGTGGACACAAATGTTGCTGGTGCGGTTTATTTACTTGTGCGCTTAAAAGTCCAGCTAGTACTGTACTTTAGTGTCCACAATGCTTTGGTCAGGGGGAATTGTTTGTACTGAAAGGAACTAAAGAGAACTCCAGGTTGGTTTCAGGTGAGAGAACAATGTATATGTAAGTGCTTTATATCTATTTCTTGAATCTCAAGTTCTTAGAGAATTATGTTATTCACACATAATAATATGTGTGATCTGTAGACCTATAATGGATATTCTCAGTGGCTTCTAAGTGTTTTAAGAACTGTTAACAATAGGTGTTAGGAATAGGAGCTATCTGCACAATCTGCAGAGCCCCGGCCACACCTCCCCCCGCCTCCCGTTCACATCAGTAAAAATACACTTTCTGCCTGTTTTACTCCATAAGACGGGTAATTGCAACGGTTATATACTTCTTGAAAGATTACCAATATTTACCATAGAGAAAATAGTTACAAAGAATGACCTTTTTTTTTTTTTTATCTACAGTGTATGTAGGTAAAGTTGAATTTTGTGAATTTAACTTGATCCTGAGAGGTTGCAAAGCATAACAATGAGTTTAAGGACAAACGACAGGAAATCTGTCATCAAATCGAAGAAGTGAAAATAGTTGTCATTTGCAACTTAACCGCCAGGGAAGAAACAGACACTCAGGGACTTGTGGGGATCGAAAAGATTTTCTGCTAGACGAGGCGGAAAAGGCTATTGTAGTGCCAGACCCCAGACACTGGACATTTCAACAATCCAGACGACAGTGATCAGTATCTGAAGTACCCATTTCCACTGAATGCATAGATTTACTGTTTTTTTCCCCATCACAAAATGAGAAAGCATTTCAAACTAAAGTGGACCTTTTTGTTTTTATCATAACCTACACCTGCCTTGGTGTCATAATCAATCGCCCCCTTCCACCCCAAGTGAAGCCACAGACACTCAGGTATATACCTCCTTCAAACCCATATCAAACTTTTTTCCCATTAACAATTATTTTTTCCTCAACTCATTCATTAAAAGGTTCATTTCGATTAAGGGAAACTAATCAACACAAGAACCTTCTCTAATCTCTCTCAGCGTTATGCAATCAAATTCACAGAATCAAAAGGGTCATAAAACAGAATTGGGACATCCTTCAAAGTGACCCTACTCTCGCTCCTGTATTTGCTATTAGAAGAGCACCTACAGGTACTATGTAGACCAGCATGTTTCCACTACCACTAAAAAGATGTACAGTACAAAAGGTCTGACAGGCGCCTCCTGTATGGTGACCCCGCTTTCACCTCTCTGTGTGGAGTGAGAGACGACTGTCTGCCCCCCCAAAAAAAAAAAATGGCAAAGCGCTTTGTGAATCTGGTCTGTGAAAAGCGCTATATAAATAAACATACTTACATACACAAGAATGGTATTTTTATGAAATGCTCAGCTCCTCTCCTCATCCTAATCCCGTGAACAACTAAAGTCAGTTTTATCCACTGTCCTGACCTCATCACCATATGCCCCCAGTCTTCCATTCCTCTCTGTTCCTTGACATTATTGCACAACCTGGACCGTCCGTGTCACACAACAAGATAAGTCAATATGAAGTATAGAACAACCCTTTAGTTTAAAATAAGATAAAATCACAATCTTTAGCTTAAATAAAGAAGCAGAACCTTTTATTGCATTTGGGCACAGAACATGCACAGGAAATTCACTGGGTCTGCGCCGGTTTCCTCCTGGTGCTCCGGTTTCCCTTACCACTGAAAACATGTACAATAGGTCTGGCATGTGCCTCCTGTACTGGCAACCCCACTGTCTATGTGGAGTAGGAGAAAAATGCCCCAAAAACAATTGTATAGCCCTTTGTGACTGGTCTGTGAAAGACGCTATAGAAATAAAAATGTGTTACTTACTTACACAGGACATGCACAGGAACTACTCTGTGGAAGCTATGGCGACTGTCCATTAGTCAAAAACAGCTTTAGGTCCCGGTCCAAAACAATACTTTAATGCCCATTGTGTTCATGCTTTTTCAGCTTTCCTGTGAGAGTGGTAGTCTAATATTTTGAATTGGAAAGATCCAGCATATTTACTGTCTATGGTTTCACGAAACTCACACGGATGATTGTCGACAACATGACAATGCGGGTGCAATGTATTCTACTGGTTACGTTTTGCATAATGTCTCCTTTAAAAGCTTTGCATAATATACTTTCATTCTAATTTTCTGACAATTCCTCACAGTAATCCATTTTTTTTACCCTCTCTAACCCTAACCTGCTCTGATTGGCCTCTTGTGCTGAAATGCCATAAATGCACTACAATATACAGCCTGCACAAGCCCAGGCCTCGGAATGATAATCATTTGACAGATTTAAATCATGTTCTATAGAAGCCATGTCCTCAGGTGATCACTCTCCTCAGCCAGGAATGTGCCACTTAAACGTACAAACACATTTTTCTGTACCTGCTTCAACATGAAACATACATATGGGCAAACTGGCAAAATATTCTAATGTTTGGAGATAGAGTCACGCTTATTTCAGTGAGAGCGACTGGTGGGAATATTGCCTTCACTAAAAGTTAATGGGATATTAGATGTTGCTGATGTTATTAGTTCATTATATATTGTGTATATATCTGATAGAAATAGTGAGATTTCAACCAAAAAAAAGAATTTTAAAAACAAACATTACACCGCTTTGAGACTCAGATCTGCAGTGAAAAGGCGGTATATAAATAAAAACTTACTTACTTACTACTTACATTACAATTGGGGCTACCGTTTCTTGTTTCATGATTTGTATATTTACGTTTTTATACAATATGTCACTCATCTATTTTCTTTTGCTTTATCTGTTGCCGGGCTGCGGGGTCAGGGTGGAGTACTGTATATTACTGTATAGCTACCGTACAGAGTCATAATTATGTAATATTGTGTGAGTGATTTAGAGCCAGGAGCTAATGACATGGATTTTGTTATATAGGACGCTTCCATTTTTGACCTAAATACAGCCCCACCCTGGATGTTATAAATCACCTTCAAGACTGCACTTGAGAAATGTTTTTAGGGTTATTTTTATTTTTTTATTTTTTGCTGTTTAGCACAGTTCATATGCAAGGCAAGTGCTTAAAGGTGCCATATTTCAATTTTCTTATTTTTTACAGTCCATCCTATGCACATGTGATAATAATTTGGGTGATACACCGTACAACACTCAAAACTTGTCAAATATATAGCCAATATATATATATATATACACAGTGGGGCAAAAAAGTATTTAGTCAGCCACCGATTGTGCAAGTTCTCCCACTTAAAATAATGACAGAGGTCATTAATTTTCATCGTAGGTACACTTCAACTGTGAGAGACAGAATGTGAAAAAAATAATCACATTGTAGGATTTTTAAAGTATTTATTTGTAAAGTGGAAAATAAGTATTTGGTCACTTCAAACAAGGAAGATCTCTGGCTCTCACAGACCTGTAACTTCTTCTTTAAGAAGCTCTTCTGTCCTCCACTCGTTACCTGTATTATTGGCACCTGTTTGAACTCGTTATCTGTATAAAGACACCTGTCCACAGCCTCAAACAGTCAGACTCCAAACTCCACTATGGCCAAGACCAAAGAGCTGTCGAAGGACACCAGGAAAAGAATTGTAAACCTGTACCAGACTGGGAAGAGTGAATCTACACTAGGCAAGCAGCTTGGTTTGAACAAATCAACTGTGGGAGCAATTATCAGAAAATGGAAGACATACAAGACCACTGATAATCTCCCTTGATCTGGGGCTCCACGCAAGATCTCATCTCGTGGGTGAGAACGGTGATCAAATATCCCAGAACCACACGGGGGACCTGGTGAATGACCTGCAGAGAGCTGGGACCAAAGTAACAAAGGTTACCATCAGTAACACACTACTACGACAGGGAATCAAATCCTGCAGTGCCAGACGTGTCCCCCTGCTGAAGCCAGTGCATGTCCAGGCCCGTCTGAAGTTTGCCAGAGAGCACATGGATGATACAGCAGAGGATTGGGAGAATGTCATGTGGTCAGATGAAACCAAAGTAGAACTGTTTGGTATAAACTCAACTGGTCGTGTTTGGAGGAAGAAGAATACTGAGTTGCATCCCAAGAACACCATACCTACTGTGAAGCATGGGGGTGGAAACGTCATGCTTTGGTGCTGTTTTTCTGCTAAGGGGACAGGACGACTGATCCGTGTTAAGGAAAGAATGAATGGGGCCATGTATTGTGAGATTTTGAGCATTGTAATGCTGGGTCTTCCAGCATGACAATGATCCCAAACACACCGTCCGGGCAACAAAGGAGTGGCTCCATAAGAAGCATTTGAAAGTCCTGGAGTGGCCTAACTAGTCTCCGGACCTCAACCCCATTGAAAATCTGTGGAGGGAGTTGACACTGCTCTCGAGAAGATCTGCTTGGAGGAATGGGCCAAAATACCAGCTACTGTGTGTGTAAACCTGGTAAAGACCTATAGTAAAGTATAGTTTGACCTCTGTTATTGCCAACAAAGGTAATATTACAAAGTATTGAGTTGAATTTTTGTTATTGACCAAATACTTATTATCCACCATTCTTTAAAAATCCTACAATGTGAATTCCTGGATTATTTTTTCACATTCTGTCTCTCACAGTACCTATGATGAAAATTACAGACCTCTGTCATTATTTTAAGGGGGGAGAACTTGCACAATCAATGGCTGACTAAATACTTTTTTGCCCCACTGTATAGCCATTATGAGCATAGAGGTGATCACAGACAGTGACACACGGCGAGTTAGTTGCATTGTACTCACGGAGGCTCCTGTTGGCAACTTTTATGTTGGAAACAACACCATGTTCCCAGATCAGCTTTTGAGGCAACTGTGTTCTGAAACAGTCTTTGCTGGTGTCACTGTCACTCGCTAAAAAATATCTGCGAGTTTCATTGCAGATTTCAGACTTGCCGACACGAGGAAGATCCCTGTGAACAAAGACAATCCCCATTCGCCTCATTCTCCGTCTTCGGGCCAAATACTCTCGTCACATATTGACACCAACAACACATTTTCTCCAAGTCACATGAAGCTATATTTACTCTTTATGACCACACGCTGGATTCGGAGAGAGGTTGCAGCTGACCATAGACCACGCTGTTCGCTGGTTCAGTTTCTCCCCGCTGTCAATCAGTGACGCTTTTGATGTCACGGATTGTGCCACGTCACGATTTGAATCAGCTCGTTTCTGTGCCTCTCGAGAATGAAAGAGAAAGATTGCTCTCTAACTTAAGATTAACGGAATTAATGAAAAAACTACTCTGGGCATGTTTATGAAGGCCAAATAGCACTGTAATCATGTTTAAACCAGAGAAAAGTCAAAAAGCGTAATATGGGCCCTTTAAAGGAGCAGTAAAAATCTAGCCAAAAGAGGTATCACCTCTCCAGAGAGTCAGAAATAGTCAGATGTACCTCAACTGGCTCTCCTTGGCGTGTAGAAGCAGCGGCTCTACTTCAAGCTCCTTCTGCATGACTTCAGACCTTACCCTACCTCTAAGGGAGTGCCCAGCCCCTGAGGAAACTAATGTGGACCGCTTGTAGCCGCTATCTCGTCCTTGCGGTCAGTACCCAAAGCTGAGTGTATTACATTCTAAATGTGAAATTGAAAAGTTAAGATGGCCACTGTTTCTCTGTGGCCATGCTGTGCCCTCGTGGGCTGGAGTCTGAGTGTGTCGTAAACCGCAGCGGGTCTGGGTCCCAGATCTAGAGGGTGCACAATCAACAGTTTTCATTTTTAAAAGGCTGTATGCAGAGCTGCTGGGTCAATTTATTCTTGTATAGCCCTAAATCACAACAGTAGTTATCTCAGAGGACTTTACACAACCGTTGAATTCGCCAACACAGATCAGAGAATCAAGCACAAGAAATAAAACAGAAAACACATTGGTATAGGTCCATAATGACCAATATCTATAAGTGGTGCTGAACTGAAGGATTGTATCTTCACTCTTTTTAATGTACTTTTAAATGTACTGTGATTATATGTCATGTGTTATCCTATTGTTTCTATTTTTTTTCTTAAGCACTTTGAATCGCCGTGCATATGAACTGTGCTACACAAATAAACTTACCTTGCCTACGTTTGTCCAACATGCTGTCGTGAGCAAAAGAAAAACATTGAACCTTAAAAATATTGCCCTTTCTTTCAAGCCTTTCTCAAGTGGAGCTTTTAAGGTGATTTACAGCATCCAGGGGGGAGCTGTGTGCAGGTCAAGAATGGAAGCGTACTCAAAACAAAATATACTATATACAGTATAACAAAATCCATGTCATTAGCTCCTGGCTCTAAATCACTCAACATCATCTTTCAACACACAATAATACACTGAATACAATTATGACACTGTGCAGTAGATATACACAGGGCTTTGTGTTGCCCTGTGTATGAAAGGCGCTCTACAAATAAACTTTGATTGATTGATTGATATACAATAATATACAGTATACCCTACCATACATACTCGACTTTTATATATTATTAAAGCCGAGATCTTTTAGGGCTGTTATTCTTCACTGTCAATCAGCAGTGAGAGTTTTACCCGATTTAAAGGATTCCTCACTGCAAAAAAATGACAAAATATGAGGTCATAATTGCTTGAATAATTGCTTGAGTGATTGTTATCTTGATTTGAACACATTCTGACAACAAGATTTGCCAATGGGACAATCCATTTAATCTGAAAACTGTTTCTATTTTCTCATTCCAAGGGAGACATTTCTTCGCCAAATCTTGTTTTGAGGAAGACACAATATCATCAAATTAAGAAACATTTTACCAAATTGGAGCCGATTATCCCTTCATTCATCAATTTTTGTAGAGAAAGATGTTTTGCTGCTTTTTTTCATTTTATCTCCTGGTTTGAATCTTTTCATTGTTTTTCATTCTTTTCATTGCAAATTCAAATACAGCTTTCAATTTACAGCCCGAGCCCAGCATGGCCTCACCTCCGGCTGGATCTTGATGAGTGCGATGTCCATCCTCTGGTCCACATCTCTGACCGAAGCCTCATACTGCTGACCGCTCTTCAGCTCCACACGCACTCTCTGCTTGTTGGTGAGGACGTGAGCGTTGGTGACGATCCAGCCGTCTTCCGACACAATGAAGCCTGAGCCGCTGGACACGGACATCTCCTCGGGGGAGAAGGGCAAGCTGCAGAGATGGGAGACAGCGGTCAGACTGATATCACCTCAGATTAACTGTGGTTATCTGTGGAGCTATTCTTTTGATCAGATTACCAGAATATTTTAAAAACATGTTCAAACTGATTGCATTTAGAGACTGTTTTAAAAGGAAGTACAGTGGCCTTGCTTTTTGTCTGCTTCTGATGTTCTGCTTGTATAATCCAACAACATTATTTACAACATCAAATAACCGCTTTTTAAAAAATGACAGTTCTCTTTATTTAAAGACAGAACAAAATTTGTGTTTGGGTACACTGCAGTTATTAGTTCAGAGGTCTAATAACTTCCCGTATCCCTCAGTCTTTGTCCAGGACTGATCTAGAAATGGTCTGGGTCTGGTCTTGAGTCTTGAGTCTTGGTTCTGGTTTTGGGTCTGGTCTTGGCTTTGGTTGGCCATACAGGACAAAGCCAAGTCTGGGCAACTTGGCTTTGTCCAAGCTCCAGGTCTGGTCTTAGTCCGTGTCTGCCGTTGTATGTTACAGTGTACGTACGGCTTTTGACAGCTGCAGCAGCGTTCTACAACCAACAGGTTTTATATCTCTGCTATCACACTTCAGTAGTCGTAAGTTTGGGATGTTTGTGTATAGTGTGCGGTGAGGAGTTTTACAAGCTTAAAACATATCGCTTCTACTTCAAGGATTTCACTTATTGTGGGTTATTTGTATAGCGTAACTCCTGCGATTAACCAGAGACCACCGCATCCTCTTCTCACAAAGTGTGAGTGGTATACATGTAGATGCGTTGTTTTACCGTTGGAACAGCTCTAGGTGCACCACAGCCGGGACGATCTTATCCACCACGTCTGCGATGAAGTTGAACTTGTAGCGCATGCTGAGGGGATGAGGAGAGCCTGGCCCAGGACAGAGAACACACAGCTCAGCATGAGGAGGTGTCCCAGGGGTCTCCAACTATCCCCCCACTGGAGAACCACTGGGTCGGGACCAAACCTGTAGCTCCTCATTAAAGGTATTCAAGGAGATGTTTGTACTAATTAATAATGTGATGTCTACACTTTAAGCGTAGATTCAAAATTTGAGCTCAAATGAATAACATATAATTAACTTTACAATGAAATACTAATACAAGACTCTGTGCTCCTATATTTCCCCACTCTGACTGACTAAAAATGTTGTTGCCAATGTTGATATTTCAATCTGGAGAGACTTCATAAAACAAAATGCGGTTTGAAGGTTTTTATTGATAGGTAGTTTGGCGCCCTAGGCCCCGGTGTGGCACTTTGTCAGCGAGGCTCTTGCTTGAGTGAGCGCACGATCCCCCCGGGACCTAGGTACTGGTGGTGGCATTCGGGCAGCAGGAAGGAGCCCAAGCTTGAAGCAAGGAGAGAGAAGGAGGAGGAGGTTTAGGCGGTGGTTGCGAGGCTTGAGAAGGCCGAGAAGTGGGAGTCTCCGCTTTTGAGCTGCTGGCTTGACCGGCATAGGTTGGTTGGAAATGGGCGTTTGCTGTGCGATAGGCCAAGGATGTGAGGCAAGCCTGGAAGGGATGGGCTGGAGCACTCAGTCTTCCGGAATTGAATTTCCGCGGGCTGCATTAGTTTAATCAAAATGTGAAGAAGAAGAAGAAGTGCCTTTGAAGACATCATTTTGACTTAGAGGTTTTCAGGACCGAAGTCCAGACCCTGGACCTGGTCTCGGTCTGGTCTCGATCCTGGTCTTGGGTCTCCAACAACTGCATTTATCTGAAAAAGACGATGCATCTGCCTATGCCTGGGGTCGGCAACCTGGGGCTCTGGAGCCGCATGCGGGTCTTTAGTGCTTCTCGAGCGGCTCCTGGGGCATTTTTCAAAAAATTCTTAAAATGGAGTGGGAGGGCTGTACTTTATTACTAGTTTGAAGGTGGTTTCTGTAGGAGGAAAAACATTCTTAACGTTTTTAAATGCTTTAAAAATGTGCATAAGTAATGTTCCATTTCAACATTTCTGTCAACGTAGTGCGTCATATCCTGTGATGTGGCCCCGCGCCAAGCGGCCGCTGTTGTAAAAAAATATTTGCTTTCAGTCAATGAGGAAGGACTTCTTCATGTTTGCGTTGTAATGAGATTTTTTGTTGCAACACAAGGAACAATGAAGCACAAAACACCGTTCACTGAAGGATTCATTCATCAAAAATTCAGAGCACATTTTTTCAGACTTCAAAAACCTCCGTAAAGACGCTGAAAGAAAGGGCCAGTGATTGTCTGAAGTTTGTCAGAAAGAAAGAGAGAGAGGTACATGATTTGAAAAAAAAACCAACCCAAGCTCCCTGCCTCTTCCTTTCTGATTGGTCTGTTCAATCAGCACATGTAAATGTTAATCGGAGAACACATTATACGTTATTAATACACATGCACAGAGGTTTTAATAATTATTTTTTAACGTTTTCATGACAAAAATTATGTTTTAATGCACAAAAAAGCGATCGCGGCAAACCCGGAAGTAGCCATTAACATTACAATTAATATGATTACATAATGATTGATTGATCAATGATTGATCGACCCCTCTCACTCTGCACATGGACTGTTCTAACATCTCCCCTCGGGTAGGAGACTACGGCCCATTTGGACCAGAACCTCCCGTCATAAGAACAGTTTCCTCCCCTCTGAGAGAATGTAGAAGTGTGTTCTTGTATTGGCACATTCTACAACAACATCCAAAAAATTCCTTTTCAAGCATTGTATTGCAGTAAATATTTTGTGTATCCTGTTTAATGTTTTTTGTACTTATATAAGCTAAGTGAGGTCAGAGTTCACCCATCCCCAGGATGACCACAGAGCCCGAGCTTGCAAATTGAAACTGCCAAATTTTAGAGGATTTATTCAGCATGAGGAAGTGGAAGGAAAACTTTTTCATGTAATATTTTTGCGAGTTCGAGCGTCGAAATGCATGTGCGTCTCGGAATGCACTCACGGACTGCTCGGTAGAGACGCACGGACTGTGCGGCGAAGTCGCGGGGGAGGTGCAGGAGCGGAAAACTGACGCACGCAGGAGAAACATTTTGCTGAGCGTTTCCTCGGGACGCTCGTGCAGCGACCAATCAGAGAGCCGCAAAGGACACTAGCGGTCTGAGCGAGCAGACTGATAATACTCGTAAACAGACAAAACAGGAGCTACACCAGGATTAAGACCAGGGTGGCAATGGGGGACATAGTTCTTGTGAAAATATGTGTTTTCATGCTCCCGTCACTTTATGTAACTGCTTCGAGCCTGTTCGCCGATGCGGAAGCACCTTTTAATCATAAAATAAACTTATGGCCCACCTCCGTGAACACATACTGCTGTTATATAAAGTCTGTGGAAGGTCTCTGGGCTCAGAGACGCTGCAGAGCTGCATTATTGGAGAAGATCTTTACACAAAAAGCCGCTAGCTTAACTCCGTTAGCGTCAAAGCCCGCCGGCTACTTCCACCACCGCAGGCCAGGACTTCTGGTCTGAACACTCCTGCATCTGAAAATTAGAGAATGTCCGTCTGGTGTGCGAGGCTTCAGCGTTCTAGCGTCGGCGGTGTGAAAGCAGCTTTAGACAGATACTACTATACTTACAACATATTTTTGTAAACATGTTTAGAGGCAGGTTTCTGTATATTTCTGAAAACAGAATTTCAATCTGGAGAGACTACACAGACAAAAATTTGCATTAAATTGTTTATTCATTTGTATGTTTGGCACCCTACATATCAAGGAATGAAAATGAAAATCATTCCTTGTGTGCTGTGTAAGTTCTGGTGGTGGCTTAAGGGTGAGGCTTGAAGGTCGAGGAGGAGGTGGTGTTTGAGTGTTTGAGAGAGTAGACAAAAGTGGGCGAGAACAAAGTTCTTGCGGGGCTGGGGATACTTTTAAACAGCTGTCTTAACTGGTGTAGGTTGGCCCGTGCCGTGTGATTGGCAGAGTGTTAAAGGGGCTGACTTTGATGGGCAGCAGCCTACCTGAATTTCCGCAGGCTGCATGTTGCACGTATAACAAAATAAGTATCTGTTAACGTCAGCTGATCAGAAACACGTCACCCCATTACATGTCTCCTCTGACGAAGGAGAAAGTCTACTGCCCAAACATGAACAGAACGAGCTTCTTTACACTCGTCTTATTGAAATAACTTAACAAGCCTTAAACATAATAATGCATCAGTTTTATATTGTGTTAAAACTCAAAGACGCTTCACGTGTCATTATTCATTCATTTCATTCCAAAGCAGTGATAAACTACTGGGTTGTGTTGAACGAGTGACAGACTGGAGCCAAATAAGAGCTTGCTTCATCCAACCTCTTTTTCCGATTTATTACGGTTTATTATTTATCTTGTTTATTGTTGGTTGTTATTGTATTTCACATGAATGCAAAATTAAGCTATACTTTGCGAAATACAATCTTTACTATTACTAATCCGTACTTTCAGACTGTGGACATTTTTGAATGCTTTCCCAGTTTTGCCACTTTCTATTGTCACCGGTACTATCTCCTAAATTAAGAGTCAGTCTTTTCTCTTTGCAAATTTAACAATATGTAATTTCCCAGTCTGGGGGAAGGGGGAGGCACAAGCAGACAATCGTCCACTCAGCCTTCATCCTACATTATTAAAACATCTCATTTGCGGTCGTGCTTGTCTGACCGTACAGCGATAAAAGCCCTAATGGGGACCTTAAAGACGCCAAGGTTATATATTATGTGCTAAAATGGATGTCATCGCTGCTATTGACCTGTTTTGGTGAAATGACAACATAATGGATGGTCTGACTATTCAGTCTCTTTTACATCTCAGTCTAGACTTAAGAGCATATGGGCCGTCTCTGGCTCACCTCTAATGACACTTTTAAAAAGAATGGAAGTCAGACCCTTAAAGTAAACAGTTAATTGGCCCCTGGCTCTGGTTTCCATAGAGACACAAGTTTATTAGCCTGAAGATGCTCTTTAAGCAGGTACATATTATATCTTTGCAGGTTTGGTGGTCGCTCTGAAGTGCCGGTTAAAAGAACAAATGTTGAGTGCATTTTGGCCTTGAACAAGATATTGAGAATATTGGTTTGTTTTAGCCATAGACGGTACATAGATGGACAATGCCAACCGCTAGTTCAATGCAGCTCAATTGGGAAGTGCTTCTGGATGAAATTTTGCTCCAACTTAAGGTAAAGGTGCACTTTATTGATCCCCGTAAGGCAATTCATTCTCTGCATTTGACCCATCCTGATGCTGCTGAGGCTTATGTCAGAAGCAGTGGTCGCCTTAGTAACAGCGCCCGTGAACCCATCACCAGATGTTGATGCTCGGCTTAGTCGGGACTACCGGAGCTGGAGGATTTGACCTTGTGTACATGTTTTCAGTGGTTGGGGAAACCGGAGTACCCGGAGGAAACCTACGCAAGCATTACTTTACTGTATTATGACTGATTTATTGTTTATTATGCTGACTGTGCAGCGCTTTGTAAACATTGTTTTTGAAAAGTGTTATACAAATAAAATGTATTATTATTATTATTATGCAAACTCCACTCAGAAAGACCCCGTTCCGACCAAGATTCGAACCCAGGACCTTCTTGCTGAGAGGCGAGAGTGCTATCCACTCAGCCACCATGCCGCGTGTGCGGCAGGCTCAGGCTGATGGAGCAAAAAAAACATACTGTTGACTCTAGTAAGTCCAGTGTATTTTGGACAATAGAATTCCTAATCCTACTAAAACTTGGAGTCAAAAAATGGGCTTTCTAAGAAGGTGACTGTTGGTACAAACAACAGGTATTATTTATGGGCGGGATGTTAGATATCCCAGCTTTATAATGAAAATACATGGATAAACATGTATGGAGACTAGCTGGTGCTCATTGGTGTTAGTCTAACCCTCTTTCGGCA